ATGTTTCTTTCTAAGGTACAGGACTTTAATTAAGGCACTCAACCTCTTTTAGAGTCCAGGGATAATTGAACCTCTATCAAGGAACTGTGCTTTTTTTAAGGTGTTCTTGATTAACAAAAATGAGTACATTAATTAGGGTGTAAGAAGATCAGGACTCTAACTGAGGTACTTAAGGTCCTCTTTAATAATCAATTAATCTTTTCTATCTTAGTTATTCTAAAGTTAATAATTCTTATTACCATTCAACTACTTGTACTACATAACTATATGTCAATTCTAAAACTAATACAATAACTACTTAGTAATAATAAATAATGAATAAATAAATAATAATAAAATAAAATATGACAAGAAAGAATTAAAAAATCAATAATAAATAAGAAGAGAAAAAAAAACTTCTAACATAAAATTTATTTTTTTAATAAATATAATTTAAATAACAATCCTAGCCTAAAGTGATATAGATTAAAATTATTATTATTGAGTAACTATAGATTACTTGTTACCATTTCGATTTATTTTATTATTTATAATGCTGAGAAACAAAAAAAAAAGGAACTTAAATCTTTTTTTTTTACTCCAAATTATATTACATTACAATTAAAAGTCTAAATGATTCTCAAATTATATTAATTATATTACAAAATATTTCTTTCTATAATATATGCTCATATGAAAATTAAAAAGTTAGAATTACAACGAAAAAAAAAAATGAATAACCAAATAAAGTCCATAAATAAATTATAAATAAATCGGAATTCCTTCCCGCTAGTCAATTCACTCGACTTCAACTCTCCACTGTTAAATCCATTTAAAGTCACTATTCCCTCTTCCTCTGGTGACAGTGGTCCACATTCAAAGGTGAAACTTCTTTCTTCTTTTCCATCACATTGTGCAGCAGGTCCTATTTCAGAAGTTAGCTTTCTTTTATGATTAGTTCCATAACTTTGATGAAATGGTGAAATAGGAAATTCATGTGTACCATGTATATTAACTCTTGCTTCACTTAAATGTGAAGATATTCCACCCCAATATCCAACAGTTCCCAAACCTCCCTCACTTGAAGTTAATGCTCGATCAAGTTCAACGGTACCATCAACATTTAGTAATAGTAATAAATGTGAACAAAATAACAAATATTTTTATATTAATTCTAATGTCAGGAAATTTTATCAGGTATAGATTTCCATTATTTTTTATATCACCTTTACGGAATTTTTACATAGACATTTGACTTTATCTTGATGGATATCGGTGTTACAAAAATGAAATACATATAATTGTGTAGCCCAGAACAAGGGCTTTCGATTGATTTTAGGAATACCTTAGAAGTTAGTAGAAAATCGCTTTCTGTTGCGTAAATCGCGCACAAAGTCATAAAACTGAAATTCTTTAGTGTGTTACAAATAATTTTCTATAATTATTATTTTATTTTACACGGATGTTTTGACTTTAAACGGAATATCTCGATTAATATAGTCGCTACAGGAATGAAACACATATAATAGTGTACTTAGAATCAGGACTTTCGATCGGTATTAGTAAAACCTTAGTAGAAAACCGCTTCCTATTGCGTAAATCGCGCGCGAAGTCATAAAACAAAAAAATTAACATTAAAATTCCGTTACATCATTTTACATGGACGTTTGACTTTAAACGAATAGTAGAGAATCGTTCCCCGCCGCGTAAATTGCGTGTAAAGTCATAAAACAGAAAATTTTTTTGATAGTGTTATGCAATATGGCAGAATTTATGTCAAAAAATTTTCCGTTTTATGACTTTGCGCGTAATTTACGCAGCGGGAAACGATTTTCTACTAAGGTATTCTTAATACTGATCTAAAGCCTCAGTTCTGGGTTTAAAGTCAAACGTCTATGTAAAAATTCTAAAAATTACAAACTTTTATTAATTATAATTAATTATAAATAAATTTTTAATTTTGTAAATTATTATTTTATTTTATTATAAAGTAATTGGGTTATAAATTACTCCGGGTTAGTACTAAAGCTAAAAATCTTAACCTATTCCTTAATGTTGTGAACATTATGCTCCATTTAACAACCCTATATGGATCATTTAATTTGACCGATCATAAGTTTTTTTTTTTTATTGAAATAATAAAAATAATGAATTATTTATTTATTGTCTGGGACGTAGCGGGGGACATTATATCTGACGGGTAAAGTGATACCAAAGTTCCGTTTTGATGCATCAAATTTCAAAATCAAAAACGGAACTTTTGAAAAGGATGTCGATTATAAGATGACGTATGCTCCGGACTTCGGACTTACTATTTCCTAGTATATAATTATTTAAACGAATTTATTATAGAAAATATTTTCAATTTAAAATAATAACGCGGAGTTTTTTTTTTTTTAATCCGAGTTAAAAATTGGTATAAAATATGCAAATATTATTCACCAGAATTTTATTGTTATTATTGCATGGCTTCTCATTCTCGTATGTTTTATTTATGCATTAAAATTTATGATCGATCAAAAATCATTACCAACTAATGAGCGTCATTCTTTTTTCCTCTTCTTTCTTCGGATTTTTCTCTTTCTCTCTCCTTTTCTGATGAACCCTCTTTTCCTTCTTTCTTTTTGCTTTCTTCAGAGCAGGTCACAAATCAGATTCCAAATGCTTTACATGATCTCTACCTTGTCTTCGAGAACAGGAGTGAGAAATTGATTAAATCTGCAAATGTAGACTTAAAAATCCAAATTAAAAATGATCATCCCAACATTATACTTTGCAACCCTCAATACTTCTCAGGGAGAAAGTATAGTATTGATAATAAAGATAAGGAAACCATCGATTTTCAAAAATCACAAATCGGGTAGGAACCTATAGACAACCAATTTAAAATTTCTTGTATAACGCTTAATTTTCTTTTTTAAACAGAAATATTACAGACAAATTCGTTTCACGAGGCATTCTATCATATGAAGTGCAATATGATTATAAACCATATGATGGAGATAAGTACCTTATAATTACATGGGCTGTAAGTATCCTTAGACATGTGTCTATTTCAAAATTTTGGCGATATTGATATCTAATTTATTTAATTAAAAAATAGATCAAATCCTACTTAAAAAAAGGGAGAAATTCAATAACTATCAACATATGTGATAAACCAGTAACCAAGGATAATCACTATTCTCGTTACAAGGAATTACATTCAGAAAACAAGAGAAAATATCCTGGTAGTTGTGTTAAAGTTTCTGGATCCATTTATAATGTCTGTGGAAGCATTACAGATGGGTATGTATCATTAAATCTTTAGTTGAAGTTGTAGTTCTCTGTTTTTTAACATCCTTTTTTGTATCAGGACAAATGCGGAAATGGATTTCTCCGTCGGACAAACAAATCAATTGCCAGATAATAATACATCAGAACCTGGTATGCATAATATATTTCTATAAATAATATGAATATATTTATTGTTTATTACCTAATTAACAATCTTTTATTGTCAATAAAATCAAAAAAAAAAATTATGTTAGAAGTTTATCAACAATTATCAACGAATCATAGTCCATTTGTTTCAAGACCTGGTATGTAAAGTATATGACATAAATTATATTTATTGTTTATTAAGACATGAAACAAATGGAATTTGTCTAATTAACAATCTTTCATTGCAATAAAAGAAGTTCAAACTGATTATCAAGTATTTAAAAAAAGAATATCTACCATTTGTGAAGTATTTAAAAAAAAAATACCTACCATTCTTGAATTTTTAGAAGATTTAGATAATCAACTTAATACTCCGGGTACTTACATTCAATTTGAACAAGCTTTTGTAAATGAAGAAATAACAGTTGATTTAATTAAGGATTTGAGTGATTGCGAATTTGTAGAACTGGGGGTAAATAAAATTGGATGGCGAAAGAATATACGACGATATGCATCTAAGTATTGAGAAGCCTTTTCGATGGTATAATCAAATTATTAATTCGTGATTCGCGAAAAAAAAGAAAAGACCTACATATATAAAACATGGGGTTAAGTTATATAGAAAAAATGTCATAATCTCAAGCCAGAGCAAGAAGTCATTTTATCTAGGGTGAAAACTTATATGTTACACAATTAATCGTAAGTAAATCCGTTACACAAAAAAATAAGATTATCTCTAACATAAGGCTAGCTTTATATTTTTACATGAATTTTATTACTATTCGCTTGCTAGTTTATTAGACATAATTTTATATGTTTATTAGTAATTAAAAAAATTTATATTTTGTTAATATTTTATATGTAGGAAGATATAATTTTAAGTGTATTGAAATAGCCGAACACGAATTATAAATTTTTGGAATTAACATTTATTTTGAGTACCTTATTAGTTAAATAACAAGCCTTATCCTAAAGTGACATAGATTAAAATTATTGTGTAACTATAGTTTATTTTGGATCCAAGTTATTTTACATATAATGGATGTTATCTGTTATGTTACTGAGAAACAATAAAAAAACGAGGAACTTAAAAATAACTCTAATAAAGTATTTTTATTTTTTAAAAAAATTACATTACAATTAGAAGTCTAAAAGATTCTCGAATTATATTAATTCGTGATTCATATACCAATCAGTGAATAATATATAAAATACAGAAATCTACAGTTGCCACTAAGAAACTTATTCTTTTACTTTTATCGAACAAGAAATTTTTAGTGATTCTGAAAGCTGAGGATTTTCTGCTATAATAAATTATATTATATCTTCATAAAGTTGTATGAATTTAGTGCTGCCTCATTACAAAGATGGGCTTTTAAAAAATTTTATAAGTGACTTACAAAATTTCCCCGTTTTTGACTAATAAATTTCACTGATTGGCAACCGGATCACGAATTAAAAATTAATGAAAAAAATGAATAGCCAAATAAAGTACATAAGTCCATAAATAAATCAGAATTCCTTCCTGCTAATAAATTCATTCGACCTCAACTTTCCACTATCAAATCCATTTAAAGTCACTATACTCTCTTTCTCTAGTGACAGTAGTCCACAGTCATAAGGTGAAACTTCTTTTTCATCACATTGTATACAGCAGGTCCTGTTTTAGAAGTTTTGCTTTCTTTTATGATTAGTATCTCCAATTGTTCCATAACATGAAACAGGAAATTTATGTGTACCATGCATATTAGCTCTTGCTTCACTTTAATATAAAGATATTCCGTCCCAATACCAACAGTTCCCAAAGCTCCTTTACTTGAAGTTAATGCTTAATCAAGTTCAATGGTACCATTAACATTTATTTTTAAGAAGTAACCAAAGTTTACGATTTAAATATTTCATGAAATTAGGATATGTGTAAGTCTGATAAAGAGAGACATTATTTACAATTAGGATCACGTATAAAGTGTGATGGGTGTATAAACATTCCTGAAGATTTTCACGTGTCGAATGTCGAGTACCAGTACCTTGAGTAGAAAGTCTGTTCGAAGTTAAAACTAAAGGAATATTTGTATCAATTTCAATTTTTAATTTTTGTCATCATTAGGGTGATATTTTCTTGTAATGATGTGATGTTACTTTCTTTCTTTTCATTTAAAGTATTTGTTTGGGTAATATCAATTGAGCTTTGAGTATTTTCATTAATTTCTCCAATATCAATTAATTGTTTCTTATTCAGTCTCCCAATAACATTTAAACTTTCTTCCGAGTAGGGTTGTTAATAAAATGGAGTAGGTTGGGGTGGGTTCATGTTATTCTCAACCTGAATTAAATGTTAATGTTTCAAGTTACTCTGGTTACTCCATGGAGTAATAGTTAAATAAAATCTTCAATAATACTAATAAATGTAAACAAAAATAACAAATATTTTTATATTAATTCTAATATCAGGATTATCAGGTATTGATTTCCATTATTTTTATATCACTTTACAGAATTTTTACATGGACGTTTGACTTTAAACCAGAATATCTTGATGAATATTGGTGTACAATAATGAAATACATCTCATTGCGTAGCCCAGAACGAGTGTAAATCGCGCTCAAAGTCATAAAACGAAAATTTTGTAGAATAAAAATTCTGTTACAAATATAATTTTTATATTATTTTATACGGACGTTTTGACTTTAAACAGAATATCCCAATTTATATCTGCGCCACAGGAATGAAAAATGTATCACTTGTCAACTCAGAATCAGGGCTTTCGATCGGTATTAGTAATACTTGGTAGAAAATCGTTCCCTGTTGCGTAAGTCGCACGCAAAGTCATAAAACAGAAAATTTGAGCAGTACAAATAATTTTTATATTATTTTACATGGACGCTTTGACTTTAAACGAAATATATCGACGGATATCGGCATTACAGAAATAAAACACGTCATAATATATCCCAGAACAAGTGCTTTCGATCAGTATTAGGAATATCTTAGTAGAGAATTCCTCCCTGCTGCGTAAATCGCGCGCAAAGTCATAAAACGAAAATTTTTTTGGCCAAAATTCCAATATCACAGAATTTTATGACTGCGTGCGATTTACGTAGCGAAGAGCAATTTCTATTAAGTATTCCTAATACTGATCGAAATCTCTGGTTCTGCAACGTCACTATCTACCGAGATATTCCAGTTTAAAGTCAAACGTCTGCGTAAAAATTCCGTAGGTGTTCTAAAAATTACAAAAATCTGCGATCGTCTCTTGATTTTGTCGCGATTGTCATTTTTAACATTTTCTTTTAACATACTGTAACCATCATTTTAACCACTCACATTTAACTTTTATTATAATTAAAATTATAAATAAATTTTTAATTTTGTAAATTATTAAATTATTTTATTATAAATCAATTTGGAGTAAGTAACCAGAGTAACGAAGTAACCTCGGGTTATAAAATTAGAAATCACCCCATAATGGAGTGACCAATCATAGGTTTTTTTTTTTTTTACTGAAACAGGAAAAATAATTTAATTTATATGAGTGAACAACAACTTTTTTTACTTAAACGAATTTAATTTGCCACATACCTTATTATAGACCGTTTGAAAGAAAATGATGAATAATAAATCGGAGTTTATTTTTTTTTGAATCCGAGTTAAAATTGGTATAAAATATGCAAACATTATTCGCTAGAACTTTATTATTATTATTGCAATGGCTCATTCTCGTATGTTCTATTTATGCATTTTAAAATTTATGATCGATCAAAAATCTTTGACTGTGAATATTCTAAACTCACCACGAAAAGAGTTATAATATTAATGAGCTTCATCCTTTTTTCCTTCTTTGGATTTTTCTCTTTCTTCTCCTTCTTTCTCTTTGCTTTCTTCTTCAGAGCTGACCGAATATCAAATTCCAAATGCTTTATATGGTCTCTACCTTGTCTTCGAGAGCAGGATTGAGAAATTGATTAAATCTGCAAATGTAAGCTTAAAAACCCAAATTAAAAACGATCATCCCAATATTATACTTTACAACCCTCAATACTTCTCAGGGAGAAAGAGTGGTAGTGGTAGTAAAAATTTGGATCTATCAGAACATAGCATCAATTTTCAAGAATCTCAAACCAGGTAAGAACCCGTAGACAACCAATTTTTGGAATATTCTTCCCTCATAACGTTTAATTTTCTTTTTTAAACAGAAACGTTACAGACAAATTCGTTTCACGGGGCATTCTATCATATGAAATGCAATGTGGAAATAGTGGAGATAAGTACCTTATAATTACATGGGCTGTAAGTATCATTAGACATGTGTCTATTTCAATTTGGGCGATATTTGATATCTAATTTATTTAATTAAAAAAAAAACTAGATCAAATCCTACATAAAAAGTGGGAGCAATTCAATGAATATCAACATATGTGATAAACCAGTAACCAAGGATAATCACTATTCTTGTTACAAAAAATTACATTCAGAAAACGAGAGAAAATATTCTGGCAGTTGTGTTAAAGTTTCTGGATCCATTTATAATGTATGTGGAAGCATTACAGATGGGTACGTATCATTAAATATTTAGTTGAAGTTGAAGTTTTTCTGTTTTTTAATATCCCTTTTTGTATCAGGGCAAATGCGAAAATGAGTGTCTCCGTCGAAAAAACAAATCAAACAGATATTGATGGTATGAATAGTATATTTCAATAAATAATGTGAATATACTTATTGTTTATTAAAACATGAAACAAATGGAATTTGTCTAATTAACAATCTTTCATTGCAGTAACTAATTATCAAGCATTTAAAAAAATAATATCTACCATTCGTGGAGTATTTAAATATTTAAAAAAATGCCTATCATTTGTTTTTGTAAATCAAGAAGTCAATAGAATTAAGGATTGAGGGATTGCGAATTTGTAGAACTGGGTGCAAGTAAAATTGGATAGCGAAGAATATACAACGATATGCATCTATGTAAGTATTGAGAAGTCTTTTGGATGTATAATTAAATTATTAATTCGTGATTCGCGAAAAAAAGGAAAGATACACATATATAGAAAAAATACTTACAGTATATGCTATAATCCCTTAAATCCGGCACACAAAATTTGAAGACTAATACTAAGATTATCTCTAAGACGAAATCAATCCAAGCTTTATATTTTTACATGAATTTTATTACTATTCGCTTGCTAATTTATTAGACATAATTTTTATGTTATTAATTAAGGAGAAAATACTTCCTTATATATGTAAATACTTTTATGAAATTTAATAACTATTAAAAAAATTAATATTTTGTTAATATTTTATATGTAGGAAGATAGCTTTTATTATTATCATTTCTATTATATTATTTATTATTTATTTTATTTTCAAAAAAAAAAAAAGAAAAGTCAAAAATAAAAACTATATGTACAAATACTTCAATAATTTTTATCACATTATCGGTTGGGAGCATTCACTCAAATCACAGACTTTAATATGGTTACTTACTGACTATCTAAATTATATTGTGTAACATATCGATTGTCCGAAATTCATTGTGAATTCTTTCCATTTCTGGCGAACACGAATTATAAATTTTCGTAAAATTTGTGACTGGAATTAACATTATTTTTGAGTACCTTATTAGTTAAGTATAATTTAAATAACAAGCTTATCCTAAAGTGAAGTGATATAGATAAAAATTATTATGTAACTATAGTTATATTTGATAATTAATTTTATTATATATAATGAATGTTATCTGTTATGTAACTGAGAAATAAAAAAATGAGGAACTTAAAAATAACTCTAATTAAAGTCTAAAAAATTCTAAAATTATATTAATTATATTTCAAAATATTTCTATAATATGTGCTCATATGAAATTAAAAAATAAGAATTATAATAAAAAAATGAATGAAAAAAATAAATAACCAAATAAAGTACATAAGTCCATAAATAAATTATAAATAAATCAGAATTCCTTCCTGCCGATCAATTCACTCGACTTCAACTTTCATTTGTTATCTTAATATTTAAGTGTAATATACGTGGTACACATGAATTTCCTATTTCAATGTTATGGAACAATTGAAGATACTAATCATAAAAGAAGCCAACTTCTAAAACAGGACCTGCTGTACAATGTGATGAAAAAGAAGTTTCACCTTATAACTGTGGACTACTGTCACCAGAGGAAGAGAGTATAGTGACTTTAAATGGATTTATTCCATCCCAATATCCAACAGTTCCCAAACCTCCTTCACTTGAAGTTAATGCTTGATCAAGTTCAATGGTACCATCAACATTTTATTTTTAAGAAGATCTTGAAGCAACCAAAGTTTATGATTTAAAGATTTTATGAGATTAGGATATGTGTAAGTCTGACAATTAGGATCATTTATAAAGTGTGCTGGGTGTATCAACATTCCTGAAGATTTTCACGTGTCAAATGTCGAGTACCAGTACCTTGAGTAGAAAATCTGTTTGAAGTTAAAACTAAAGGAACATTTGTATCAATTTCAATTTTTAACTTTTGTCATCATTAGGGTGATGATTTGCTTGTAATGATGTGATGTCACTTTCTTCTTTTCATCTAAAGTATTTGTTTGGGTAATATCAATTGAGATTGAGTATTTTCATTAATTTCTCCAATATCAATTAATTGTTTCTTATTCAGTCTCCCAATAACATTTAAACTTTCTTCCGAGTAGGGTTGTTAATAAAATGGAGTAGGTTGGGGTGGGTTCATGTTATTCTCAACCTGAATTAAATGTTAATGTTTCAAGTTACTCTGGTTACTCCATGGAGTAATAGTTAAATAAAATCTTCAATAATACTAATAAATGTGAACAAAAATAACAAATATTTTTTATATTAATTCTAATATCAGGAAGATTTATCAGGTATCGATTTCCATTATTTTTATATCACTTTACAGAATTTTTAAATAGAAATTTGACTAGAATATCTTTGATGGATATTGGTGTTACAAGGATGTAAATACAAATATAATTTTTATATTGTTTTACACGGACGTTTTGACTTTAAACAGAATATCTCAGTTTATATCAGCGCCACAGGAATGAAACATGTATCACTTGACAACCCAGAATCAGGGCTTTCGGTCGGTATTAGTAATAATTAGTAAAAAATCGCTCCCTGTTGCATAAATTGCGCGCAAAGTCATAAAACAGAAAATTTGAGCAGTACAAATAATTTTTATATTATTTTACATGGACGCTTTGACTTTAAA